TYYTTTGTTGCTGCTGCTRCTTTGAAGRTTTTTWGTTTGGTTTTGGGKTTTTTTGTTTGTTTGCTAGTTTTTCTTGAACCAWCAGGARCTTTTCATAGAAMTTSTTGTCTCTGAKGCTGATATGACGTGGTTTGTTTTAAGAGGAAAATTTTTTTCATCTCATTTTCCTCCTATTGCTGCTCATGTTCCTCCATGTAGAGGAGTCAATATGAGGCCTTTTCTCAAAGTGGTCATGCTTWTTCATACACTTTGGGATAAAAGGAGAAAAAAGGTGAAGTGAATGGCCAGAAGGAGCAGAGATGAGACTGCATAGCTGTGACTGTCAGATGAAGAACCACTTCGTGGTCAGCAGTGTGGCAGATAATTTAATCTCCCTCCCATCTCTTTCTTTAGTGGCAGAGCCAAGCCCAGGGATAATGACCCCTGAAACCACACACTTAACATTTCTAACTCACAGTGTTTGCTCATGGTAGTGTTGTAAGGCAAAATTGACACATTGAAGCACACTTTTTTAGTAAAAATATATTTTTTAACAGATGTTACTATAGTGAAGAATAAGTTTTCCTTTATCTTTCATGTTTTTTAATTATTCCTTCTTTTGTTTCCTGCACTTCAACAAGTAATTAGAGAATTAGTTTTGTTTAGGTGAGGTAAGTAGAATGTCAAGCACATAAAAAACAACAGTCAAGTACATAAAAACAACAGATACAGAAAAAACCTTGATAAGGACATCATGTCTTACACAGAGTTTTACCATGTGTTTGAAAATCATAAGGATGTTTGAGGCTGGAAGGGGAAAAAATTCTTAATCTGTTTTGTTTCCTTTTGTGTCATGTTAAAATACTTCTAAAATTTAAGCCAGAAGATATTTTTTGCCCTCTGACTATCTAGGTAGGAGTTTAACCATTTCTTAAATTAATTAATTTTCRGATGTATTATGAGTTTCTGCATTTAGAGGTAAAATGTTCTTCATTTCATCTCTCTGCTGTCTGTTACAGTGTATTAAGTACATTTGTAGTTGTGGACTGAACCAAAATCCCAATAACTCATGGTAACATAAATAGCTTACATTTGGAAATATTAATTCCTTGTTTTTAAACTTATTTTTCAGGGATCAGTTCCATCTTCATGTGTAAGCTTTGTAACTTATTTTCACCAAATAAGTCCGAACTGTTGTCTCATGTCTCCGAGAAACACACAGAAGAAGGGACCAGTGTGGATGACATCATTATTCCACTCCAACCTCTAACAGTACCCACAAACACAAGCAAAGATGGAGAAGGTACATTTTTAGTTAAGAGAATGTAATTTTCAATATTACTTTTTTTTTTTTAATAAAGCCTGTGATGTGATGACTCTGCATTTTGTATAGAATGGTCTACATAATTTCTTTTTTTTTTTAATAATCACTGTGCACTGCCACCCTGTATTTCATTCAGCGCAGAAGAGATCATACAACAGATATGGATAAACTCAGCATGTCTTAGGGAATGATGACATGGGTTCATTAATTTTAAATGTCAAGTATAGCAAAGTCTCCTTCCTACAGCTTTAATTTGAGCTTTGTTAATAGCAGTGGGCAGATTGTCTAACAGCAGTGGAAAACAATCARGACACCATGGGGGAGAGGGTGTCTTGAGGCTTAGGTGTCCTTTTTGAATTGTCTAACTTGTTTGTTGTGATTCAAGTAATATTAATAGATCTATTCCAAAAAGGAAGTGGCACAATTTGTATTTTATAACTGTGTTTTTTTATTGATGCTGGTAAATAAAGCCAGAGGTTGAATTAGTTACACATAAAAATTTTACTCTGCAGTGGAAGAAGTTACGTTCATTCCATTCAATTTTTAACTGATTATAATTGCCATCCTTTAGAATGTTAGAAAAGCATTCAGAATAATTCAGACTTTATATCTTCTTTCATGCCCTTMCTGAGTAATGGATTTATATTGTTGGGAAACCTCTTATTTAACACAAGTACTAGTATTTTTCAATCATTATGACTTCTGTTTTTTAAAAACTATATGCTTATGGATCAAGCCCACTCTAATATCATACCTTAAAGATTTCTTTTTTTTTTATATATATGCATGTGATGTTTCCTCACTTATTTACCAGCAGTAATTCAGTAGTTATATTAACTTAATCAGTGTAAGAAGRTACTTCTAATACTGGTTTATCTAGTATTCCCCTATAGCTGCTGTCTCCTCAGGTGATGAGGAAAAATCACACCAGATTATTACTTCACACAATGCCCAAAATAACCAGTTTATCAGAAGATGACGGATAAATTTCAAATCAGGTTTCAAAATGCCATTCTAGTTTTATTTTAATTGCACAGAATTAATTCCTCAGGCATGCTGAATGCATTTTCCTTTCTCAAATCTTTGTTTTCTGTTATCCCTTCACTACATATGTGTCTGAGCACAGTGAGACTGGTATCTTGTAACATATTCTTATTCATTTTAGGAGARAGGCTCTTCTGTAAGCTTCTCTCTGCTTTTGTGTCAGGAGTATCTGCACTCTATGTCCTGTATGTGTTCAGCATGCATTGTATGTTTCTGAGGATAGTTTGTAATTACCATTATAATCTGAAGCAACAGAAATTAGGCATAAATAGCTTTTAAGAAAATAACTCTGCAAGTCTAACATACAACATTCTTAAGTTATATATTCATAATTTACCTTTCTCACTATTCTTGGTGAATACTTTTATTCATCTGATATACCTATATRGTGCCACCTTTTTCAGTTTATGTAGCCCAACTCTTTGCTATCTGCTGTCAGTAAGAATGTCGAGGTAAATTTCTTTTACATAGTTTTCAAGTCATATTCTAGGCATACTTTAGCATATCTCCTTTCCCATCAGACATATTGATTGGAATGAGGGTTCTGAAGTCCTATTAAATTATTTTCTGTGTTCTATTAAAAAAAATACAGGTATTCTACAGTTGAACATAGAAATTGGGAAGAGTTCTTTCAAAGCATCAGTTTTTCCCTTCTGCTGTGAAATGTGCAGCAGATTAAATTTTAGAAGTTTATAATATACAATTATTTGTCAGTGAACCAGTCTTTGTAGCAATTTGCTGTTGTCACTGAAAGGAGAAGTAATTGGTGAATGACAGTTTTAGAAATAACAACTTTCAGTACTTGGTGACTGATAGATGAACATCTTTTTGTCCTTTRAAAGTGTAATTTCTCTTCCAAGTATTGGTAAATGCTGTAGTCACCCCACAAGAAGAATGAATATATAGAAGAATAGAATGCTGAGTTGCTAATGGAGATCTTTGTTCTGCCTGAATAATAAATTAATGATTCTGTAAGTGCTGTGGACAAGTAAAGAGCTAGGCATGTAATATGTTTATTACTCTGATGTTACTTTATTGACAGTGCTCTGTGCTGAATTTTGTTTAGCCATGCCATTTTGCCRTCATTAAGATGTGATGTATTTAGAGTTGATTTGTCCTAAACATTTTGGTATGACGATGTTAAAATTTTTTTATTAAGGGGCACTAAGGGCACCAGGGAGATGTTGCTCTTATACATCTATGCACAGGTCACATTTTGTCCAGCCCTGAAGTGTGACATCTTTGTTTGGGAAATGACAGGTATTTACCTGGTAACTGTAGTCATTCATACTCCAGTTTAGCCTAAGGCTTCCTTTCATAACTGTTCACAATGATCTCCATTTGCTTCAAAGTGCTTGTCAAAACTCGCCTTTTTTTGCTTCTGCTTAGTCATATTGGTGAAGATTTGAGGTACAGCATCAATGGCTCTGACTTCATCTATTCATACTGTTATTCCCTGATGAATTGTCATTTTTTTGGGCTATATCTGGATTATGGGTTACATTACTTTGTTGTTTATGAAACCTTTAAGAAAGTTAGTCTGAGTATCATAATAACCTCTAAGGTTATTAAGATCACTTAAAACCACAGCATGTGCATCATCCTCATCCTTACCTGAGCACAGGATGCAGCCAGAGCCTGCATTCACACCTGAGGGATMGGAAGCATTGCAGGTGCTGTGATACAAACAGAGAACAATGACGAAATAAGGCTGGGGATGAGATTTATTTGCGTGCATTTGTATGACATCTGGTGCAGAAGAGTCTGAATATGGCCAAGTGCTGTTGTAACTGMTGAAATTAAGCTTTTTCTACTGACATTTGAGGAAAGATTCATGTTGCAGAATGCATCAACCTGTTAAAATTTGGTCAGGATGTTTAAGCGAACGCTTGCACAAGCGTTTGTGACTTCTGCCAAACATTTTGTATTAGATTGATTTGGAGAAGTTTGTGTGAACAATTCCTATGAAGGAGCAGTATAAAAATAGACAAATATTTTATTATTCTCTTTTTGAAGTGTCTTTTTTATGTCTTTGAGTACATAATTAAACAGCATAGCACAGAATGTCTTCCCTGGATATTGCCATTGTTCATCCAGTAGCAGTCACCATAAATATTGGTTTCAGTYGGTCTGTAATGAGTATAAAATCCCCAGAAACAGCTAAGTTGTTCTTGAGGGAACAAGATCTTAATTCAAAATCTTTTTAATGACCAATTTAAAACTTCAATTTATGAGTAAGTGTCGTAAGATTTGCATGTTCTTTGTACTACCATTGATAGTCACAGTGAGCAGAACTGCAATTTTGTAAGCCATAGCAGAGGTTCTATCACYAGCCTTCTAAAGGAGCAGTTTTCATATTTTCACTTGCAKGCAAAATTTTATTTCMATTTCTGTCTTAATGTGAAAATGCTGTTCTGTTTTTCATTAAGTTTGCACTGAAACAGTCAGGAAGAAGCATCTCTTTGACCTGTTTTTTTTTTTATTAATTTCTCTTTGTTGGATAATCTGATGATTTCATTGTAAAGGAATGAAAAGCATATTATATGCAGTGAATGACAGCTGCACTCATTCTTCCAATCCTTGGATTTAATTATTTTATTGTAACCTGACCAGCATCCACAYCTGTATTCCTCATGTTGGACACTTTAGCAAACTGTGACCTTTTGATGGATTGATGTGAAGATAATTGTTGTTGCACTTGTTTTAATTGTGTGTTAATTTCTTTAACTCCAGGCACCGAATACTGGTTGCTGTGATCAGTGGATATCAAAATAACATGAAATAGTAGCAAAGAGAAATTTTGTGAGCACTGAAAATCTCCCCTTTCTTTTTGGCTGACAAAACWACTTTTGCTAGAGTAGCACAAAAGTTCAGGCCTCTGGTAGAGGATTGTAAAAAGTTATGGGAAATGGTTGCTTTTTTTCTATTTGTAGTAAAGGTTTTTCGCTTCTTTTTTACATTTGTTTAAGCAGACAGGTATTCAGTCACTTCTGTAAGAAGATAAAATGCTTTCTTTTTCATTTGTTAGTAATTACATGATTAACTCAAAGCTGTGGTCTCTGAATGTGGGGTTTTGTTTGCCTGATATATTTAAGGGACATGCTGAATAAGTTATGAATAACATGCTGCTACCTTCTCCTGTTCTCCTCATCATCATTCTTTAAGATTCCTTGTTTTTGGTTTTTTTTTTCCCATATGCTCTAACTCAACCAATTCAATTAGGTCTGTTTGCTTGAAAAGCTTTTGTGGATTGGGTTGTTGCTTTTTTTTATTTTAATTCTCTCTTTTTGTGATTTTGCAGACTACATTGTCAGTCTCAATTTATCARAATCTGTGATTCTACAGCAGTGATCAGAGAAATCTTAAGCAGAAAATAGAATTAATGTTGTCGTGCATTTCTGTGCACTGCGTCTCATGGATTTCATCAATATTTCCTCTACTGAAATATGRAAATGTAAAATTATATTGTATTTATTAGGAGTAATGGATAACTTCTGATTTTAATTAAGGAAACATTTGTGGATTTTATTTGTTACCAACAATTTTTTATGCCAGTTTTCGGCTAAAAAGTGCTGACAATAAAGAACCACAGAAAAATATTAGGGAGTAATTGTTAACTATATTAAAAGGACAATGAGCTTTTGGTTCTAAAATACGAATTGTTTKTCTCTGATTATATCTCAATACTTGAATAATTTCTTTGAAAATTATTTTAATTATAAAGCTTTTTGTAGAATGTTGAAACACAGTAGAACAATCTTGTAGAATATGTGCACTGATAGTTATACAAGAGTGTAGAAGAATGCTTGCAGTGTGATTTATGTAAAACTGTGGCACTTTGACATCTGCTGATCTCAATAACACTAATGTTACTGCTTTGCAGCTACCAGAAATGCCAGCAAATACCACTGCCTGRAATAAGTTTGTGTGAAGCTAACCTTTTTTTAAGCTATTGGGATAAAGTCTCTCAAACTTCATTTAATGCACCTATTCTTCAAAGATCAGAGGGATATTAGGTAATTAGCTGTGGAATTTTATTATAGTTTACTTTCATTTTCTTTTCCAGAACTTCTCATAACGAAGAGGAAAAGGGGTAGACCAAAAGGGTCCACTAAGAAGTTTTGTGTGGATGAAGATGGGACWGAAAATAACACTGTTCCAAGCAAAGAAACTCCAGCTGGGACAGAAGAAGGCCCAGAACCATCTGAAGTCTCACCAGGCAGCTTGGAATGCAAGAAATGCAACCGCAAGTTCTCCAACACACGTCAGCTGACCAAACACATCTGCATTATTGTTCTAAATGAAGGGGAAGAAGAAGGAGATGGAGGTAAGAAAACATCCAGCAAAAAATATCTGAAGCAGGTTTTGGGACAGTGTCTTCCCACCGTGAGGCCTGACTCGGGTTCTCCAGTGCTGGTTTTAAATGGAGGGAAGTTGTCTCTTCTAACACAAAACATGTGTTGGAGCAAAACTCAGTCAGACAAGGTATTTAAACTTCTTTCAAAGTGGTCAAAACGTTTATTATACTAATGATTGTCCTACAACTCCCTGAAATGCTTGTTTTGCATTAGCAACTGTTCAGTTTCTTAAAAAGTGAACTATAGTTTTTCAGTGACAAATGGTATAGGACATGCAGGTGAGTGTCACACACAGGTGAGGAACGATGATCCTGTTCAGGTGTGACTTGGGAACCATGAATTTTATTTTCTTCTTTTGATAGATTTAGAGGTTGCTTTTGTGGATGGCTTCTTTTATTGTATTTAAAAAAATGTCAAACTCACCTCTTCTTTTTAACAAAGCTTTATGTGAATGGTTGTCTTTGGCACAGGAGAGTTCTGTGTTTAAATTGAAATTTAAGGTTGATTTGAATATATTGCAACTCGTACATTTTTAGTATAGAATAGAGCAGAATGAGTTCTTTTCAGTTKGAAGGAAATACCATGACTGATCTTGTCCAAGCCTGACCAATTCAGGGCTGACCAACAGTTAAAGCTGTTGTAAAGGGTGTTGTCCAAATGRTTTCTYAAAMACTGACAGGCCTGGGGCATTGAAACCCAATCTAGGAACCTGTTTTAAAAGACAACAGTGAATATTTGTTCAGAATAGAGTAGTTGAAGGGATGTACAAAAATCATCTCATCTGCCTGCCTATTTAATTTTTCTCTAAGGTGAATGTCACATACATACAAAGCAGTGACTTAGTCCAAATTATCTTAACTTTATRTGARTTTTGTGTTGATGGTAAAATTCAGGTTTYSCA